GTGTCACTTAAAGAGAGCTGTCCATTCTCAGAAACCATCAAACCTGAATGAAGTAGAGATGTTTTGTAAAGAAGAGTGGTCTAAAATACCTTCAGCCACAATCCAGACTCTCATTAGAAGCTATAGGAAGCATTTAGAGCTGTTATTTTTGTGAAAGGAGGAGCTACTAAATATTGAGGTAAGATTTTTTTTATGGTGCCCAAATTTATGCACCTGCCTAATTTTGTTTAACCAATTATTGCACACTTTCTGTAAATCATTTCAACTTCATTTCACTTCTCAAATATCACTGTGTTTGTCCCCTAGATGATATATTTAACTGATATTTTTAATACAAATATTCAATGATTCATAAAGGTAAATCAGGAAAATTAGCAAGGGTGCCCAAACATTTTCATATGACTGTACATGCCTGAACACACTTTCAACACTTAATTAAACTGGTTTAGCATTAGAACAGGAACATTGCACGACGACCTGACTTTCAGCCATAGGCTGGCCATTTATGATGACATAATTAAAAATAGGCGGAGTCATGTCCTGAAGATAATGCTATAATGAAGTAACTTCCTGAATTGAGGGGCTGAACGCAGCACTGAGAATAAACTGCCTTCAGTATGAACTCTTTTCACATTCAAACATTCATATGTTAGTGTATTTTCTAACTACGTAATACAAACACATGAAAAGGTAAAAACGAACACGTTTAATCTTTTTATTTCAGGTACATAAGGATCGGGCATCAAGAGGAGGTTTAGTCTTCACCCGCTGACTTTAGTCAAAAAGTTAGATTCTTGATCTATGTGTTTGTGTAAGACTCACCTGTTGTCTTGGTTAGCACCTTCCAAACATACAGACTCATCGGTCCCATGCTGTCGTTTCAGACTGCACTTTCAGTCAGACAAGACGCCTTTAGAATCATATCCTTGTGCTGGAAATTTGTGTTTTTATACAAATGTGACATGCTGACAAAAATGAGTCAGAATGAGGCTGCAGAGCAAAATAAGAGTCCATAAAGACACCTTTCTAGTGATCCCAGTAAAGTAGCACATCATCTTAATCTATGTTTCAGTTGGAGTTTTCTAACAGATCAGGAATTATTCTTTTAGTTTCTCTTGAACCTCACTATTTTTCGTTGCTGCCTGCCACAGCACTGACAAATCCTTTCGTATAATGTTCAGTATCATTGTAAAGCTTGGTCGTTCTTTTTTTTTAAGGGATCCATGATTAGTTGTAACATTAGACTTTATTTGATAAACATATATTTTAACTGTAAAATAAAGATGGTAAAAATACTGTAGGATGTTCAGTTTTTATCATTTTTAAACTAAAAGTTTAAAAATATATTACACAGACGGGGCCATTTTATTTTCACGCAAAACATTCTGGGTGACGTGGATATGTCCTTGGTGTGAGCGAGCTATATCCACCCTGAAGGTTAATCTTGGACAAATCTGACGATCGGTTCTTTTAAATGAAACCAGAGAGCGTTGACAGAGAGGAGAAGGTAGAAATGACTCAGCCTGTAACTGAAAACATGGATGGAGGACAACAGAGCTGCTTCATGGAAGAAGAACCTCAGCTTAGCCTGTTAGCTTTAGCATTAGCCCCGATGCTATCACCATATATATGTATTAGCTCAGCGCTACACATTCTCCTCTCGTCACTGAGCTCCTCCATCCACATGACAGAGAGGGGAACACAAAAATGACTCAGCCTGCAACTGAAAATATGGATGGAGGACCCCAGTTTAGCTTGTTTGTCGCGCTATCGCCGAGCTAGTACATATAAGGCAATATAATTTAAAAATTTTAAAAATAAAAATAAATTAAGGGTGGCTAAAGCTCGCTCACACCGAGGACCTATCCACGTCATTATTTACCCAGAATGCTTTGTGTGTAAATAAAATGGTCCCATCCATGTAATATATTTTTAAAACTTTTGTTTAAAAATTATAAAAACTAAACAGCCTACAGTATTTTTACAGTATTTATTTTACAGTTAAAATAAAAGTTTATCAAATAAAGTCTAATGTTACAACTAATTGTGGATCCCTTTTGTATTTGGCTAGATCGCGGTGATACCTGTCCAGAACAATAAACACAACTAACTTGTTGTTAGCCATGTGATAAACTACCATATTTAAACAGATTCTGCAACATTTTGAAGCTTTTGAGATAGAAAATGTAAAAATGGGAAGAAGAAGTAGGATTGTAGCGTTCTTCGTGTCTCATTGAGTCGCCCTCATGCCTTTTGCCTGCAGGTGGCGCTGTACAGCATGTATGTGGCCTGCATGGCCTTCCACGCCAAAGTGAGCGACCCCCTGATAGGCGGGACCTACATGACCCTGCTGAACACGGTCACGAACCTCGGAGGAAACTGGCCCGCCACGCTGGCCCTGTGGATGGTGGATACCCTGACCTCTAAGGAATGCCAGGGGGCCGCCGGTCAGAGCTGCGGCTCCGCAGCTGAGGCAGGGGTGAGTGGAGCCAGAGAGGTTGCAGTATTACAGCATGCAGTATCTGTGAAGATAAAAATCTGTTTTTTTCTTTTATCCCCAGCTGTGCGTGAAGGAAGGCGGCATCTGCGTCACAACCCTGGACGGTTACTACGTGGAGTCGGTGGTCTGCGTGGTGATCGGTTTAGTCTGGTGGGTGTGGCTGGGGAAGAAAATGCAGCGGCTGCAGGAGAAGAGCCCAGCTGCGTGGAGGTGTAGAGTGAACCAGTGAGTCGAGCACCTCGGGGCCGAACAGCGGACTCTGGACAGTGAGCCGGGCCTTCACACTCTGCAGTAAATGCTGGACGCGCTGTAAATCCATCTCAATCTGTCTGCTTGGTGTTTTTCTTTTTTTTTTTTTCGCTGCTACAACTCGAACATGTTGAAGTACACACGAATGAAGAAGCTTTTCTGTCTTCTCTGGAAGGAAACATGTGTCTCAAACTGTCCTCCTATTCTGAAACAACTGGTTAGTTTAGGTTAAAAACATTATTTTCAGGAGCTTATTTATGCAACACAAGTTGTGCTTCTTTTTCCTACTTTGTCTCCATTTACCTTCCATTACAGGAGTAATGAAAACATACAGATTAACTCAAACAGACTGAATGCACGTTTGATAGGTTTTATTAAGCTGTACTGTGGGCCTGTGCTATGAAGCAGGGCTACTCTTTGTTTTAAGTTTAATTCATCTGCTGTAGGGAAACCACCTGGATCTGCAGGTTGTGGGAAGTGATAAAACAACACGTGTAAAACTACTTACATCTTCAACAAAATTAAAAAAAAGACCAGCTTTAAAGATTTATTAAAATTTCTCACATAAATATTAGAAAATATTTTTAGTACACTAAGAGCATGAGTGTAGTCTATCACATTTACCAAACTACATCAAAGACGGACAATGTTTTTTCATGTGTGTGTGTTCAACTATCTTCTTACCAAAATCTCTCATGAACAGCTGGAGGAATTTTAATAACATTATCAGAGTAATCTTTAGATGTACCTCTGTAACTGATTAATCAATCCAGTTCAAAATGGGCCACATCTAATTAACAATTTAGTACAAAAAATATATATTTAAAATAACTTTTGTCGCACCTTAAGAGTAAGGCTGACTCTTTCTTGCGTGGCTCAAGAAAAGGCAAATGTCTCACAATTATTTAAAGAGATATACGTTTGTAAAACTTAGATCCACTACTGATAACAAGCTGATGACTGAAAACGTTTGTTTACTTTATCGGTGTTTCACATTCCTATTTTACTTTTTTTTTTTTTGTTGTTTATTTTAAAAGTTKGGTTTATTACCAGTGTTGTGGGCACCATTTTGGGGAGATCTTGACTGAGTCGGGACAGTTAACCAAATGTTCTGAACTGGTTGAACCTGCTTCGTAGTACAGTCCTCTGATCCGGTCCAGTTCTTTAGGGTTTCCGCAACGGGATCACGTTCTTGTGAACGCTCCTTTGTTTTAACTTGTGCCTTGATTGGTGTTTCAGAATCCTCAAACAGAGCTGAAGCTGTCGTGTTGAGATGAAGACGAACTGATAAGTACTTGTATTTCCAGTCATTAATTTAAACCAACAGGTTTCACCAGACTCCTTTAAAGAATATGATGTGCACTTTGTAATGAAAACTGTACTTAGAGAAACCGACTACCTTACCTTCAATAAGGTTTCTGTTTCTGYGACCAGTTATAGATTTGTTGAAGGCATTATTAGTCAGTTATATACAAGAAGGCACTCTCAACTTGCATATTTGGYATGATTTTATTTTAGGCAGCGTTCTCTGGTTTACTCAAGCTTTCTTTGCTACCTATTCAGTGTAACTTACTGTAATACATAAAACTGGGAACATACTGAACGTCTGTGTACTCTGTCTAAATCTGTAGTGTAAATCAACTATTTTGTTTTAGGCTCTGTAGGACAATAAAGGGTCAGTTCAGTTTTTATGAAATGGGGTTCTGTGGGAAGCTAGTCTGGGTTTGTTACAACAAATCTGATCTCGACATGTTTTGTGGCTAAGTTCTTATCAAACCCATATTATGTCACCAGTTTTACATTATTCCAGCAGGAATATTCTGTTATATTTAAGTGCCCCAAGCTGTGTGGATAGTGTTACAGCTAACTGCTACTGCTGTTTTGCTTGTAAATAACTATCAATTCTCTATATAAAAAAGAAATGGTGCAAAATTTTTAATGTTTTTAAAGTAATATTTAGATGAACGGCTATAAAATGATTTGCCATTGAAGTTGTTTTAAGGTGGCGTTTTAGTCTTGGCTCCACTTTGACTAGCCATTAGCTCATCAGTCCAGTCAGAATTAAACATTTATTTTTTTTTAATCAACAACAGGAGTGTTTGTCAAACTTTTCCACAGAACCCCACTTCAACTATTGCTTTAATACCAAACATGAAGGAGGAAAAGGAAGCTGCAGCTCTAAAATTCATTCTGGAATGTTTTGTGGTTTTTATATATATATATATATAATATCTGTTGCCTGTAATAAATTGTGGCTTTATCAGCAAACTTCAGATTTTAAACCATAAATATATTGTTTTGATACAACAAGCAAGAAATTGTTACATTATTATTATTATTATTCCTTAAATCAAACTATGACAACTGTCCAAATGCACAATCATTGTTTGGAAAAAATTAATTCTGATTCTGACTTATCTAATAATTAAATTTTTTCCCTGCAAATTTGTTAACGTGTTTATTCTTCATATTGGACGTTAAACTCAGCTCACAGCTTTAAAAACTCTCACTGCAGGACTTGTGTTGTGGCAGAGCTTCATCCTAAGAGCCTTTTTTGGCACCACTTTTCCTTATTTTAACAAATATATTTGTAGTTAGACTGGTGGTGATAAAACTCTTTGAGAATGGCAACAGGAATTATGTTTCCTTTGTGTTGGACCATCCTGTTTTATTCAATTATTTACTTTTTCATTTGCACATATTTTGTTTATGACTAATATCCAAGTCATTTAAAGGATTCAGTGATTATTCTGGAATACCACACAATCATTTTTAACAAATAAAGACAAGCACTTACAGGTCTCCAAGCCTTTTTGTCTGAAATATTAGAAAAAGTTATTCATACACAAGTATTTCTTTTAAATGTTTTATTTATAATTTTTCCTTTTGCCTTATTTGAGTTGGAAAATTTGGTTCCTAGGTTGTAGCTGACTGAGGCTGCAGAAGCTCAGTGGTTATCCTGAGGCTGCAGGTTCAAGCCCAGGTGTCAGGAAGAGCATCCAGCGTCAAACAGTTAGCAAATCTTTCATGTGAGTTCACTCGGTGGGGTGAACTCTGCAGAGAGGAGCAGCCAAAAGACAACAACAAACAAGTTGATGCTGATGCAGGAGGCCGTAAATGCTGCTCCAAGTCTTTGGAGCATTAACCCCTATTTCCATGAATTCCTGCGGTCCTGAGCTGCTGAAGTCCAGAGTCTCTTGGGCAGTCGGCTCAAACGAACAGAATCAGCTGGATGTTTGTGTAAAGCATGACATTGCATCAAGATGAATTATGACTGAAGGAAATGTCAAAAGACGCAGCTCATAGTGAGGTGCATCCGAAGAATCAAACAAGTCATTCACAATACCAATGCTGAAAAAAAAATCCATGCTCTCAAAATCACATGATCTATATCTCATTTAATGCATCCACTCTGTAAGACTATAAAACAAAGCTACTCCAATCAATGACAGAGCCTCTGGCTGCTCGTCACAGTCTCCATTTATAGTAATTCAGTTGGAGCCTGGAAGTGTCACAATCTTTCCGACAGATTTAGTTTTTTCAGTGGCGTTCACTGAAATATCCAAAAACACTTTGGACATCCTACAGTACACAGAACTGACTGTTTSAGTTCAAAGCCTGCCACATGATAAATAATCGCCTCAGATTTGTTTTTGCGTCTCAAAATATGAGAAGACGGAGGTCAACAGACGAGAAGTGTCCGAGGAGAAGCAGTGAGACGGTGAGGTCATCTTAGCAACGTGGCTGAAGCACGCACAAACTCCAGCCTGTGATGCGATAACTAGTGTGAAGTTTTTAAGATCTTCATTGTCTCGAGCATCCATACGGTTTTCTTTGATCCTTTGTTTAAAAAAAATAACAAAAAGAGAGGTCATAGGTTCATGCGCAAATGCTCGGGCCGCTTGGCCACCACTGGGTAGGCCTGCTGCTTCATCTGGTTGATCCCGGCTGGCTGGCGGATGGGAAGAGGGGCCGAAGCCTCGGAGCTGCTCGTGATGTCCATCTGCTCCACGGAGGACACGTCCATAGCCTGCTCCTGAGGAGACGGGAGGACATTTGGTCCTAAGCCAGGGAGGAGGGGGCTGCGAGCCCACCCTGGGCTGAGGTGACAAAGAAAAGAAGGAAATAAACTTTAGGGAACAAGTCAGTTTGGTACATGTGTAGTAGCAGCATCACGGTTAGGAATGGGCATCTATCTCCCAAAACAAAAAAGAAAAGCCACCATAGTTTATTTTAAAAATATAAAGCTGAAACTATGATTAGAGCTGAACTCAGTTTTACTGTCAGAGTTTGTGCAGCCCCTCAACCAGTGGTGGGCACAGTTACGCTAATCCACTAATAATGGAACTAGATTCACATTTAGCGAAGTCACTTTTTTGCTAACTTTGTAAACTGTTTAGCTTCTTCTAAAATATGTTCCACTAATTTTAAGTTCACTAAGAATTCACAAATGTAAAACTTCTTTTATGCCATTTATTATGAATTAAATAAAAAACTACCCCTTTCACAGGCAGTACTGAACGTGTCAGGCACCGAGTGTAGCATCTTTAGCAGCAACAGATGATCCCGCCTACTTTCAAATGAAACCAATAGAAAACAACAGGTTCACCTGTCTTCAACTAAAGGAAATGAAGACGTGTCACACAGATAGAGTGACAGACGTTTTAGCAGTTACCGTTAGCTTCCATCAATTGTTTTTCCAATCTGTTTAGCATTAGCGGAGCTGTGATTCCTGTTTAATGGATTAGTCATTAGTGAACATAACTTTTTGCTTATCTGTGCCCATCACTGCCCTCCACTTTCATCCACTGAACTAATTAAAAGGAAGGCAAATACAGATCCACAGCTAGCAGGATTAACAGCAGCACGTCTCCGTTTTATAAAAATGTGTTTCAGCTCCAGGACCTGGGTTCAGTAAACTTTAAATCACTGCTAGTCCCACCTGTGTAAGAGAATTATTTTAAGCAAAAACACAAAACAATCTTAGGCTCAAAATCATTAAGCAGCTGATGATTAGCATTAATTAGCTAAGACTTGCTGCTTTAAACAGCTCATAAATAATATAATAATAATAAAGTCCCAGCTGTTAAATCTTATGGCAAATCCTCTCTTCATTATACTGGGGTATTGTTATGGAACGAGTTACCTGAGTATATTCAGGTTACTGCCTGCAAGCCCCTATTCAAGTGTCGAGTCAAACAGTTCTTATTCCAAAGGTTAGTCAGGCGAGAATTAGATGATTATATTTATTATTAGTTTTTTTTTTATTGTAACTGATGTTATTTATGTGTAAGTGATTTTGTGTGATGATTATGTGCTGGACCACAATGGAAATAAGCTTTATGCTTTATTGTGTTATCCATTTATGTTAATGTTATTGTATASTATATGCAGTGCCATTTACATGATAAATAAAATGAATGAACGAATAAACACTTGTCAAAAAGAAATAATCTTGCTGTAAGAAGCATGAATTGCTGCTATTTAATCTTATATCTGGAGCAGTGGCTGCTAGTTGAGCAGGGGACCAGGACAGCAGTGTGGTGGGGAAGGGCGYTAAAAAAAAAAAAAAAAMCAACTAATAAATACAGACAAATTAAGTGTTTTTGCTTAAAATGCCCATCCCTAATCGAGTTCATCGTATTTCAGAGGAAGCTGCTGCAGATGAACAGACACACCTCAGAAGTGCTCTCGGGCTGTCCATAATCCGCCGAGGTGAGCGGATTTTTGGCTCGTATGAAAACCTCTCTTTGATGTTATCCAGGACTGATGGAGCAACATAGGTAAAACCCTAAAAATAAGAAGATAAAACCAGGCAGAAATGATGCACCGTCTCAAAGTCATCTCTTAATAACTGGCCACAGGTCTGACAAAATCAGCAAGAATGTAGCTCTCACTAAAAACACAGCAAAGGTCAAACTAAGAGAATATTTTTCACTGCAAAAGTGTAGGAAATTTATGAAAACTGTTACATTAAGGAAGCAAAAGTCAAGGTAAAAACTATTACCAGGAAGACTTGGTTTGCACTCTCACTGAGTGTAGAATCATCCGGGCTGTCCACTGGCGTCTGACTCGTGAACTTCGAGTCAAACTGACTCACATCGTCGGCCGATTGCTGCAAACAGAAAACAGGAAACGTACGGTGAGGAGACCGAAACATGAGCTCATCTCTCAGCTGTCAGGAGAAACAGGAGAAGACCCAGTTCCTGTCTTGTAATGGGAGCTGCACGACTTAATGTAGCATTACTATTTTACAACATTTCTCCAATTTCTCTAATACAACAGGAAACTGTGCATTATTCAGAGCTCGTTAAAGCGTGCTCCTGGTTACGCTCACCAGGATGGGCTTGAAGGGGGGCTCCACTTTGCGAGCCAGCAAGTCCTCCCAGTTGATGTGTCGAAAGAAAGGATGAGCCTATGGGACACCAAAACCAGAATATTATGTACTAAATTCAGCATGAATTCATTTTTTCTTTAAAACCAGCTCTTGACTTTTCAGCTTGTGTCTGAATATACAGAAGGTTTGATTAAACCACCAAATACTAAAAATACAACATTTACAACTTTTCAGTATACGCATACAGCTTGGCCAGAAATATTTTAGGAATTTAATTTTGATGTCTAACTAAATAGTAGTGCTTAGTGAAGAAGTCTTATTCTCACCTGCACTTCTGCAGCATCTCCTGGTCCTGCTCCCAGCCGTGATGAGGCGGTTCTCTTTAGCAACTGGATAATATGGAAAAATCAATAAAACAGAGTCAGGATCACCTTTCATGGTGTCGTGAGATAAATGTKTTTCAGTTCTGGTGCTGAAATAAAAGACTAGATTAAGACACAAAATACATAAAGAACTAGAATAAACCTGTTCATTCATKCACAAGTGACTGTGTCCAGAGAACAAACCAGTAAATACCCGTTTGAGGAGATCTCTGGCTTCTTGTGTGAGGTAGGGTGGAAGGCTGAGTTTGCACTTTAAGATCTTGTCGATGGTCTTTTTACGGTTCTCACCGGTGAAAGGAGGCTGCAGTCAGAGAAGACAAACAGTGACGACTCAAATATCCTAAAATAATTTTCATATCTGACACCCAGTGTTTCTCCTACCATTGTACAAGAAGGGCAGCCTAACTGCCCCCCCCCCCCCCAAAAAAAAAACCATAAAGTTGGGGGTGGGGGATATGAATTATGAGTCAGTTCTGACAGTGTTTTTCCTAATGCACTGCCACAATGACTTTCCATACTTTCTCGTATAAAACTGAAATATTGTTTACGAGGGATAAATTCTCATAATTACTCCCTCTTTCCTGCTCTACGTCACACAGAGCGAAGCACATAAATAACAGTAGTTGTTTTTGTTTCACACAAAAGTCTGAAAACTTTTTTTCCTGTTAACAGCAGAGATGAAAATAAGATGTGGACGTTCTCATAAATCTATCTCACCATTTTAACAATCTTCTGCTCTCTGCAAGGGCTGCAGATCTTTTTCAACACCATACTCAAGTTCACGTGTATGGCAGACCATTTTTACATGTAATCAACTTCAACACACTTACATATCAGGTATCTGAAATTGGTTTATGACATATTCGTTATTTAAGTGAGAGACATTTAGGATTCAATTAATGTCAATTAAATTGAAGATTTTTTCATTTTCAGTCATTTTTATTTTAAAAAGCTGCATACTCTTAATA